AATATAATTATTATTTCTAGTTTTCAAAAGAAAAATTCATACTCATGATCTCCATGTTAAAGATTATATATATTCTAAAAATTAGGATCAAATTATATTTGAAAATATATTTCTCGTCAAACCCACATTTCTACAATATGCGGGCTGGCCGCATGCTACCCGCTACCTTTTTTCTCTCTTTTTTTTTTAATATCCATACATCATAAGGTCAAAATGATCAATTGTAAGGATTTTCAACATCAGAATTATCTTTTTGGGTAGATTTTTGAGGTACACCTTACTTATAGTCTTATACCGATATAAGGTTGACACCTTATATAAACCCTTTCCTTTTACAAAAGTATCCTCAAGATTCATGTTTCACAATGTGTTCCAATGCAAAAGGTGCAAGCAAAAAATGTTGCCTTGGCTACCAACATGATGATAAACGAATACACTAACTCATTTTAATTTTATCTGAAATACTACTCTCAATTAGCAGTTTTTAAAAAACAAAAAACAAAAAAACAAAGCAAGGGTAAAATACCAATTCAACCATCTCCTTAGGTTAGGGTTTAGATGCATCCAAGAATGTGCCTACTGTAGTAGATGCACCCTTCTCAAATCCATGTTGGAGATGGATTGAGGATTAAAAAATTCACAAGTCTAAAATTGGTGGTTCTGTATCTAGAACATAATCCACCCTATTTTGAAAGCAAGTAAATTTAATTTTTCTTTTCTACATAGAAAAATTAGTTCCATTAAGTTTTTCAAGTTTAGATAGTTCTGACATGATTAACCTAAATGCCACTTTTAATTTTAGATAATGCCTAAAGGAAAAAGTTTATATAATGTAGAATTATAGATGCACCTAAAAAATCCATCGGAAAAGGTTGTTTTAATTTTGAAAAACTCTCTAATTGATCATCTCAATGGGATGTATGAATTTTTAAAAAAAAAGATTTTGAGTCCCCAAAATAGTGCATCTTGCAACATATTATCTAGACCGTCTATTTTCAAGATTTTCATATGTTTATAGATCTACTTGACTTTAACCATTTTTAGAATTTAAAATTTGATAATTAGATATAAAACTAGATTTTGAGATAATCTTGAGAATGTTTTACACCAAAATTACATGTTATGATAAAATTTGGAGGTGCACCCTCAATTGGATTGTTTAAGGTTGCAACCTTCTAGAACTACACTAGCTCAAAAATTTAATTGTATTTAAGAAAATGATTGCCGACACTCAGTGGGCTGACCTCAACGAAAAATTTTCTCGAACTACTTACATTCGCACTGCTGTGATGCAAGAAACTAAAAAAAAAAAGGCAAAAAAACTACTTTATGCAATTCTTGCACACAGCTAGTTTTTATAAATATATAAATATGTTTTAGCTCTAGAGAGAGAGCCTACAATGATATTTGATATTTTCAACAAAAATAGGGCATAATATAATCACAAAAATGAATTCAAGATCATGAAATTTTCTCAATTAAAGAGACCAAAGCATAGGATAATTATACCGAGCAATAATAATTGTGATGCAAATAGAATAGGTAGATATATCCCTAAATTATAAATTAAGCATGCTACATAAAATGAACAAGTAAATAAATCAGACTAATATGTAGTAAAATATATTTTTTTAGACACTGATTTTCAGAGCAGTTATATCTCTGTCTCTCTCTCTCAAATTTCAGCAACACTACACAATTTCAAGATGTCTTTGGTTTCGATTGCAAAAACACTATTGTACCTCAGACGAGTCACATCTTATATCCAAAGAGAATAATACCCTCCCAACCTCAGACGAGTCACATCTTATATCCAAAGAGAATACCCTCCCAACCTCAGACGAGTCTCGTGAATCCTAAACGGGAAATCCATATAATTGCAGACAAAAAATTTGGATTCGCCACGACTTCCAAAACAAGTAGTCTCACGAACCACGATCTTGTATTAAGATTTCTAAAATGGATAGAGTCAAACAACTTGAAGAATTATGTGTACCCTTGTTCTCTACACGTGTCAATGCGCACAACCAGAAGCCGACCCACTTGACCAAAGGCGCCTTGCTGTCTAAACTTGCACGTGCCCACAACCAGATGCCGACCCACTTGATTCCAATTTTCAAAATTTATGAAGATTATGTTTTGGGTGTGGTTTGCATAAGTTAAGGCCCTAAATTTTCATAGAAATGCCTCTAAATAATCATAGAAGAGCATACCCCTAAATAGTGTGTAAAGATGATTTTTCAACAACAAAAACTCATTTCCATCTTCAATTATAGAATTTAAATCTTTAAAATTGGATAAATCAAATAAATCTATAAAAAAGATCATATAAAATTCCAAAAAATTACCATTAAATTTGATACATATTTATAAAAATCAAATCCCACATCCACCTAATAACTTTTTCATATTTTAAATAATAACTTTTTCACACCCTATGTGATAACTTTTCTATAAATTCATACCAAATTTAATGGTGATTATATATAAACTTTTCCATAGACTCATATCAAATTTAATGGTGATTTTTTAAATCCTATACAACAGATGGAGAAAGGTCTTATAATATCATTACTCATCTATATAACACTTAAATCTATAAGCACTCGAAAATACTAAAAATTAACAGTACAAATAATACATGACCGGATGTACCATATCCCAAACTTGGAACCTTTATTTTTAATATAGATCTCAACATCATCATATCAGAGTTTATATATCTCAACGTCATCATTTCAAAGTTAAACATCAAGACAACCTCTTCTAGTAATTATTGAGGTGCGCCTCTATTTGATTGTTTAAAGCCTCAACAACCATGAGTAAAGTTTTTCCAAATAACGTACAGAACAATCCGTTCATTTAAATCATAAGGTAGAGCCGTCACTAGCCATCCTTCGATCAAGTAAATAAACATTAATAAATCAAAATGAATGATGATGGAAAGAGTTCAGATGCAAAGAGTTCAGAGACAATCGAGTCACAACCATTACTGCATCCAAATAAATAAGATTAACAAATAAAAACCAACACGCACACATATGAAAAAAAACTAACTCTATTTAGTTATCCACCAATTTCCCACGGGAATATATTTTATCAAATCCAGCCAAAAAAGGCAATTGGCCCATTAGAAAAGGCCGCCGACCAACTATACCAAAAAGAACTAGTTCAAGAGTATTCGATGAGCATGCAATCAAAAGCAGCTCATAATCCCAAAACAAAAATAGAGAATGGCAATATGTAGAAGGGGAAAGGGAAGGGGGAAGGGGGAAGGGGGAAGGGGGAGGGGGAATTGTCTTCACCAAATACAAAAAACAAGCACCATGGATTGAAAAAGAGGAGAAAAAATTGCTTAATCGACCTCCTCGATCTTGGGGCCAGCACCACCACCGCTGCTGAAGGACTCACCACCAGGCATATCAGCACCACCAGCAAATGGAGGTGCACTACCAGGCATATCAGCCCCACCAGCCTGATACATCTTAGCAATGATGGGGTTGCAAATGGTCTCGAGCTCCTTCATCTTGTCCTCAAACTCATCTGCCTCAGCCAACTGGTTGTTGTCGAGCCATTGAATTGCCTGCTCAATGGCATCCTCTATCTTCTTCTTGTCAGCAGCATCGAGCTTGGCAGCAATCTTGTCATCCTTGATTGTGTTTCTCATGTTGTAGGCGTAGTTTTCAAGGGCATTTTTGGCCTCTACCCTCTTCTTGTGTTCCTCATCCTCGGACTTGTACTTCTCAGCCTCCTGGACCATTTTCTCAATCTCCTCCTTGCTCAGACGCCCCTTGTCATTGGTAATGGTAATCTTGTTTTTCTGACCTGTGGTCTTGTCCTCAGCAGAAACATTCAAGATACCATTGGCATCGATATCAAAGCACACTGTGATTTGGGGCACCCCACGAGGAGCAGGAGGAATGCCAGAGAGCTCAAACTTCCCAAGAAGGTTGTTGTCACGAGTCCTGGTCCTCTCTCCCTCATATACCTGGATCAAGACACCAGGCTGGTTGTCTGAGTAGGTGGAGAACACCTGCTCCTTCTTTGTGGGAATGGTCGTGTTACGGGGAATCAAGACAGTCATGACACCACCAGCAGTCTCAAGACCAAGGGAGAGAGGAGTAACATCAAGCAAGAGGAGGTCTTGGACCTTCTCATTGCCCTCTCCACTGAGGATGGCAGCCTGGACAGCTGCACCATAGGCCACAGCCTCATCTGGGTTGATGCTCTTGCAGAGCTCCTTCCCATTGAAAAAGTCTTGGAGGAGTTGCTGGACCCTTGGGATACGGGTCGAGCCACCAACCAAGACAACATCATGGATGGTGTTCTTGTCCATCTTAGCATCACGAAGGCACTTCTCAACTGGTTCCATACACTTCCTGAAGAGGTCCATGTTAAGCTCCTCGAATCTGGCTCGGGTGATGGTAGAGTAGAAATCAATACCCTCATAGAGAGAGTCAATCTCAATGGTGGTCTGGGCGGTGGATGAAAGGGTACGCTTGGCCCTCTCACAAGAGGTCCTCAATCGACGGAGAGCACGAGGATTTCCACTGATATCCTTCTTGTGTTTCCTCTTAAATTCCTGAACGAAGTGGTTCACCATCCTGTTGTCAAAGTCCTCACCACCCAAGTGGGTATCACCAGCAGTTGACTTGACCTCAAAAATTCCCTCCTCAATGGTGAGAAGAGAGACATCAAAAGTGCCACCACCCAAATCAAAGATCAATACATTCTTCTCACCCACACTGGTTGCCTTCTTGTCAAGACCATAGGCAATAGCAGCAGCTGTGGGCTCATTGATGATACGCATGACATTGAGGCCAGCAATGACACCAGCATCCTTAGTGGCCTGGCGCTGGGAGTCATTGAAATAGGCAGGGACTGTGACAACTGCATTCTTAACAGCTGATCCTAGATACGCCTCAGCGATCTCACGCATCTTCATCAGGACCATGGAGGAGATCTCCTCTGCCGCAAACTGCTTATCCTCACCCTTGTATTGTACAACAATCATGGGCTTGTCACCAGGTCCTGGGATGACCTTGAAGGGCCATAGCTTGATATCACTCTGGACTGAGGCATCAGAAAACCTCCTGCCAATCAAACGCTTAGCATCTGCATGCAACATAGAAAGGCATCAATGTTAAGTACGATGTAAATACAATCTCTACAGTATCTATCAAAGAAGATTTAACAGAGCTAAAACATGCAAAAGTATTGCAAGCATTGAACAACTTAAAAATAATTGTTGATTCACAAGTATACTGAATACTGATAAAACTTTACAACTGGAAAATAAGTGTGCCATAAGCCTTGTAAATTTTACAAAAACTAGGAAAGGAAAGTTTTTCAACAAGGAAAAAATTTCAAGTTAGAAATCTTGAATTAAGAACTGGCAAAGGAGATTTTCAACTCAACAAAAATAGGAAAAAACGACTGTAAGAAAAGAACTTCAAACTCAACCTATGGCACTTACAAGTTGTTACAGAAAACAAACTACAGAAACATTTTTAAAAAACAAACATGCCCAAACCGGCCTCCACCTACTTCTTCAAAGCACTGTAACAGGGGGCTCATTGCTTTGGGTTTAAGCTCAAACAAGGAAATAGAGATGTATGAAAATCCAAATCGAAAAATAGCTACAGGTCAAGGATACATAACTGACGAGGACAAGACTTTTTTTAAAAGAAACTGACAAGAAAACAACATTCCAAATATAATTCTAAAGACAAACATCAGGCAGAATCTATCTTTCTAAAAACAAAATACAAAAACAAACGAGACAAATTCACATTGCCCAAATAAATAAAAAAACAAGTAAACGAACACCAAGTTCACAACATCATAAAAGGCACATTCCTACATGTCAAACATATCACATCACTTTAAAATTTTCAAAAACAGTACTTACAAAAAAACAATAAACATTGTTATTATCTTACATGGTACATGCAAAACTGAATATTCAACAAGTATAAGAAATTAACCAAAACATGCATATATCAAAGAATCAAAGTTCTACAGCAAAAATTATTATGATGACTAGTTAATCAAAACACATAGATCTGATCAATAAACAATTACAAAACAAGTGAGAAATCTGTATTAAAAGAAACAAAAGAGAAGGCCTTGTAACACAAATTGCATACTTCAATTAAATAACTCCTTGATGTTATATTTCAAAATCAAAACAGCCAATAATCAATAAACAATAATGACTGCTGCTTAAACAATCCATTACATAACATGAATCAATCAAGACGGCATAATAGGGAAATCTCTCCAAATTTTTCAATGGCTAGATTCACCCTATAGCATTGCTTGAGCAAAATAAACCTTCAGATAACCAAACAAATGGCATAATCCACAGATCCATAGCCTCATTGCAAAAAAACCTAATCAGAGTTCATTGTTCCAAAACCTGAAGCATCCTAGAACACAAAGATCTACACCAAAGAAAGCGGATCTGATAGAGTTTCAGAGATAGATCACAAACAACTAAGCAAAACACGACTACAGAATCATATTTTGAGCTAGCATCCATCTCAAAAGACGAACCTACTACACATAACCTAAAACACATAGATCTATGAATAAAACAAGGATCCAGGTTACAGAGAAAGCTCAGAAAAACTCACCGAATACAGTGTTAACTGGGTTCATGGCAACCTGGTTCTTGGCAGCATCTCCGATGAGCCTCTCTGTATCAGTGAAGGCAACGTAAGAAGGGGTAGTCCTGTTACCCTGGTCATTGGCGATGATCTCAACTCTATCATGTTGCCAGACGCCGACACAAGAGTAGGTGGTACCAAGATCGATACCAATGGCTGGACCCTCTCCTTTACCCGCCATTGAAGAAACTCGAAAACCGGAACAAATACAGAGAATAATAGAGCAAAAACGCAAAGAAAGCGAAGAAAAAACACAACAAGAGAAGAGAAAACCCTAAATTATCAGATCTGAGATGAATGCCTGGGGTCCTGGCTTTTATAATGAAACTCCCGAGTTCTGGGTTCGAGAATGTTCGAAAGGGATATTATTGGCCGTCCATCTCTTGCAGATGGACGGTGGAAGACGTGTAAAAAGCACTTTCTTTCTCTAACCCTAGCGAATCAGAAGCATGTTTGCCCCCAGCACACCCATTTGACCGAATTGGCCGAACCCTCTGGAAAAATCTAGAATGCCCTTTTCCTTTTCGTAAATGATAACCGCGTCCTTTCTTATCGCGTGCCTGCGGTGGAACTCTCGCCGAAGCATCTAGTCAGTCGGCTGACCGATTACTAGATAGCATTTTAATTCTTCGGCAGGAGTATACTGTACATATTTCATTAATCAATAAGTTCATAGAAAATGGTTTTGATAGGATTGCAGCTCTATCAAGTAAAGTCTCATTTCATAACTTATCAAAAATTACAAGTCAAGTATTAGAAAATTTTTATATCAATCATTTTGGCTTAAACATTATGGTTGTGAAAAAAAATGAGATTTCAAACTCTAAAAATAATATATATTGTAACAAATTATTTAGATTGTCCATTTTGTCCTAAAAATAAGTGTTTATATATCCGTGATATTAATATCATTTTTTGAATTTCGAATTTCATTATTGATGTTGGAACTTGATTTTAGAGCCATCATAGATATTTCTGTTGCCGAGAGTGCTTTGTGGACGAAGATTTAAAGTAAGGGTTTCTTTCATTTTTATGAAGCCTAGGCCTTATAGAAACATCATCCTAAATTTATTTGGGGAGGGTTTCTTTAATCCTAAATTTTGACCCTATAAAAATTAGTCCGTCTTTGTTAAATCTTGTGACAGCATCTTTTTTTTGTTGAGGTAATCTATGAGTTGAAGAGTTTACCTCTCAAAAAATTTGGGTCTTAGAATTGCTCTAAGTTTGAGTTTTATGCTAGGAAGTAAATAACAGTGTGATCCCTCGGTAACATAGAAACTTTAGTATTATTATATTCCTAACTTTCGGCCTCGGGTGAAATACATAATTCAAAATAATTAGTTAAAAAAATAATAATATTCCTAACTTTAGTTGAGAAAATAATTAGTTGAAAATACATACGTAATCACTTTATGCACAAAATCCCTTCAACCAAATTATTTGGAAAGTGATAAACATGAAACAGCAACATATTAAATGAGGGAAATGTAGCATAGGAAAGGTTGATACTTAGCTTAATTAAGGAAATGCCATTTTTCCTATTTGTTAAATGGCAATATCAGTAGCTCATTTCTAAGTTTTAACATACAAAGAGAGGTCTAATTTTTAATTATATAAAAAGAAAATACTTCGATGCAAGTTTCCTATATAACACAAATAGATTTGTATTTAATCATTTTTTTTACTTTTTAATTTGAACGAAAGTATAACGCAATAGAAATGGCCCTAGGTAAATACTAAAATAATGGATACTTTTATTTTGAATGCTATTATTCTCCATAAAATTAAGGAAATTTATCAAATTATATATAAGAGATCCATATCTTATCGATATTTCATATTTAATTTCAAAAAAAACCATCAATGTCTGAGTTGCAATCATAGTTAGCAAGGCGACATAAAAAACAAGATTTTTTCAAAAAAGGGTCATTTTATTATAATACGTTTTAAACTGCATTACTTTGAAAATATCAAGAAAAAACATGTTATTTTTATAAAAACGTTAAAAAAGAATTTTAATGATTTTTTCAAAAAAAGCTGATAAAAGACAAACTTCTCACTTATTGCATCCAAATTCAATTTTATTTGAAAAGTTGCATATTTTTATTCCTTATATTCCAAATAAATTTGTTTTAAAAAAAACTTTCCTGTTTTTGTGCATCCAATTTCAAAAATTTTAAAACTTCTTTCTTCATCATTTCTATTTTGGATTTCCTTCTATATTGATTTATACACACATACACACACACACATATATATATATATATGGAAAAGTCTTTCCATTGCCTATAGGAGAAAATGAATAGTAATTTCGCATACTCTCATCACTGTCCAAATTTCATCGCACTGTCATAATTATCTGGTAGTGTTTTATTTTTCATTTTTTTCTACAAATCGAAATGACTTGAAATTTGGAGAGTATGTACATCTTACTAAGGCTCATCTAATAAAAAATATAACAATAATTATCCACAAAAAATAAATTGACCAAAATACCCCCAAAATATTTCGGGGATATTTTGGTCAATGTTTTTCAGGTAAAATATTTTTTTAATACTTTGCAAAGATTCCCCTATATTTGACAAATACACGTTCCAAATTTCAGATCATTTTGATTTATAGAAAAAAATAAAAAAATGAAATACTATCGGACAATCGTGACAGCACGATGAGCTTTGAATGGTGATGGAGGTAGACAAAATCACTGATCATTTTCGCCTATAGGCATTGCGTAGTGTTTTCCTATATATATATATATATATATATATATATAAATAGTCTAAGAAAGTTTCAAATCCAATTTTTTTCAACTTTCTATCTTTATCTTCAATTCCACAATTTTGGAAGGTGCTTTCTCTCTGCCTTATATTTTGATTTTTTTTTTGGCATAAAAATGTTCCAAATAACTTTCAAATCCAATTCAATTTGTTTTAACTTGCTATTTCATCCCTTTTAAAAATCGTATTCTCCCAAAAAAAAAAAAAAAGTTATAATAATTCAACACCTATTTTCTGAAAAAAAATAAATTCCTTGAAAAAAGAATTGCGTATCCAAAAAAAACACAAACCATCACAAAGAAGATAATGATGAGAAAAAAAAAATCTACTTTTCTTGGCTTATACATTATTTTATTTTTTCTTATGGTCATTTTATCCTAGATTTGAAGTTTTTATCTAGCAAGAATTCCCCTTTTTATTTATACTGACAATCTACCATGCCTACTAATTTGTTATATTGTCTTTCATGTATTTAAATTTGGATCTAGTGACTTTGTTCTGCTTTATGATTTATTTTTTATTTTTGGCCTTGTTTGTATTTAATATTGGATCATGGGATGAGACATCAAATAGTTGACTTTATTATATCAGAGTAACAAAATTTTCATGGATACAACTCTTATGGATGGTTATTGCAAATTTAAAAATTTTACATATTTGCTTTTTTAGTCTGATTTTTTAATCCATGTTTGATATAATCATGATGTTTTTATTTACGATATTTTTCCAAGTCAATTTTTTGCCATAATTTTTGCATACGACTTTTTGAACCAAAATCGATTTAATCTCAATTTTGTAGTGAGCCAATATATTATTTCCCCTCGACCTTCTAACTATGACACTAATTTTGCTGGTTTAGACCATTGAAAAGGTAAAAGAAAGCCTCTAAATTCCATATAAGGTTTTGCAAGGAAGTTATTAATCTAAAACTTAAACATCAAATAAATTAGCAAGGTTATGAAGAGTGTTAAAAAATAAACAAATTATAGTAAAGAGCATTGTTTTAACTTTTTTCTTAATTATATTGGTGTTGATGACAGTATCAAATACAAAGTTTAATGAAATAAAGGTATTTTATTGGAAATATTTTTTGAGTCCCCTCCGATTTATAAGTTAGAGTCTAGTGGTGAGAGACTCCATTGCCAAGGGTTCAAAATGAGGCATAATCCTTCTTCCTTCTTTTCTTTTGCAAATAAATGAGGCAGAAACATCTTGATCTATGTGAAATGGGAGGGACTTTAGTATCTTCAATCTTTATTTCACAAAATTTCACAAACTCTATCTTCAAAGTCTACTTTACCTAAAATGGCTACATGCTTTCATGGTGGCTCTAAAGAGTCTAGACCAACTTTACTAGTTTAGGTTATCAGATACATAAAGTTACAATGAAATATGATAATATCCATTTATTTACCCAAAAATCATATTCATAATCATATTGATGATACATAAATCCAATTTACATAAGAGTAGTCGACAAAACCATCTATAAATATGGTTGAACCAGTGTTTAAAAAACCGAATAGGTGGAGCAGATGTCCGCCCTTAATCCTTATTCGGATTGGCTAAATCGATGATTCGGATCGTTCTCGAATCTTTTGGATCGGTGTTCCAAAAGAATTAAAAAACAATACAATAAAATAAAAATAAAAATAGAGGTTTATGGGCTGGGGATTTAGGTGGGGACCACAAAAAATATTAGATAAGCTTAAAGAAAAGAGGAAAAGAAAAAGAAAAATTGAGGATTTGGGGGAAACCAGACTAGGACCTATACCATTATGGAACATGTTCAACCTCTACTAATTTCGCATCCAAATTAGTGACCCCGATCGGAAATCATCGGGATTTAAAACAGTAGGTTGAAGTTCGTTTCAGAGTCTCTTTTGGAGAAAAATGAAGCAATTTGGGGGAAGACTTCAAAAAAAATTTAATTCAATATAAATAAGTTAGATAGTTATATATATACAAATGATGGAAAAAATAAAAAAAATAAAAAAATTAAATAAAAAATTAAAAAATTAGATAGCTATTTCTTTGTTGGTCAAAGCTGAAAGATACTCCAAGCATACCCGAAGCGGTCCGAATTTGACCGAAGTAGCCTAAAGCGGTCTAAATCTGACCAAAGCGGCTGCTCCAAGCTTCGCTTCTCTTCAGTTTGTGCCTAAAATCTAACGGCTTCGGCCTCTTCAGCCAAAGCGGGAATTTGACAATATTGGGTTGAGCAATGTTTCACTTAGAGTTGACATGCCCAATTTGTAATTTAGATACAATTTCTTGTACTAATAATAGTCATATCAAAGAAATAGTCTCTCACTTATGTTTATGGTAAATTTAGTTAAATTATACTCATTTTTTCATAATAGAAGAAAAATAGTTTATTTTCCTACCCTTTTTTTTTAAAAAAAAAAGAAAAAGAAAAAAAGAAACCTTATAGGTGCTTTGATACTGTTTGTAGATAGGTAAAACCAGTAATACAAATTTGCCACGAATAGCAGGAAAACCTACTGGCCTTTATCACTATTGAATGTAT